CGTTACCCCCCCCCCCCCCCAAATAAAAAAAATTCTAAATTAAAAAAAACTTATAAATTCCCCTCTTTCTCTCACACATTTCTCACTATCTTCTCTCGAAAATATTTATTATTTATTATAAATATTTATAAAATATATTTTAAAAATGGGATCATCTTCCTCCGACGATGAAAAAAGAGCTCTCTTTTTTTGTTGTTTCGCCACGAGTTGTATTCAATGGTGGGAAGAAGGCGAATAAGAAGAAGCCGAATCCTCCCGACGACAACGTTTAAACCGGGATCGAGCGGCCGCCCACGCTTCACTTCTAAACGACTACTTTAATAATTTGTGTGTTTATACACCGGAAGATTTTAGTAATCGTTTTCGGATGAGTCGTCCTCTCATTTTACGCATACTCGCCGATGTTGAACGCGAGGTTCCTTGGTTCACCCAACACTTTGATACGAGAGGCCGACGCGGGTTTAGTAGTGTCCAGAAGTGCACTACCGCGCTCCGTCAGTTAGCGTACGGGACAACATCTGATATGTTCGACGAATACTTGAAGATGTCGGCTCGGAGCATCAGGTCCTGTGTTTATAAATTTTCTAAAGCTATTATTCAAATTTATCATAAAAAGATATTTACGCAAGCCTACAACGAGCGACATCCACCAACAGTTACAGGCAAAGCATGCCGCTAAACACGGCTTTGTCAGCATGCTTGGGAGTATTGATTGCACGCATTGGGAATGGAAAAATTGTCCCACTGCGTGGCACGGTCAATTCTCCCAGGGAGATCATCCCAAGCCTACTATCATGCTCGAAGTTGTTGCTTCAAATGACTTGTGGATTTGGCATGCTTTTTTCGGTGTCGCAGGCTCGAACAACGACATCAACGTTCTCGATCAATCGCCTGTTTTTGACGATTGGATTAATGAGACCGCACCCGACTCTTCTTTTGAGCTTAGAGGGAAACTTTACAAGCGTGTATATTATTTGGCCGATGGTATATATCCTGATTATTCCACGATTGTCAAATCCCTCTCCGAACCAATGGGTCTTAAACGTCAAACCTAAAAAAAAGCTCAAGAGGCGGCGAGAAAAGATATTGAACGAGCCTTTGGGGTCTTGAAGGGTAAATGGCACATTCTAGATCGTGTGTCGAAATGTTATTCTCAAACGAAAATGAGGAATATCATGTACACATGTATTATTCTTCATAATATGATCATAGAGGACAACGGGACTGCGATTTGTCAATACAATCGGACGAGGAGGTGTCTATGTACGAAGAAATCAACAAAGAAAAGAAACGAAGAAACCGCCAAGAAATTCGAAGCTGAGAGATTCACAATGCACTAACGGCGGATTTGATCGAATATATCTTTAGTCGCTCGAATAATTAGTAATTTCTTTGTAGTGTTGTTTTTTTTATGTAGTATTTTTTTAATGAATGTAATTTTTTTTAATGAATGTAATTTTTTTTATGAATGTAATATTTTTTTAAATGAATGTAATTTTTTTAATTCACTAGTCTCATTGCGATTAATTTAAATAATAAATTAATTTAAATTTATTAATTTAAATTTAGAAGATGTATATTTAAAAATGTAAAAATTGAACGTTTGAAGCCCCAGTTTGAAACCCCGGGGCTTCAAACCCATTTCCAATAAATCTGTGAGGTAAGTTAAAGCTGACGTGGCAGAGAGAGAAATTTTGAAACCCCAGGATTTCAAACGTATTCCAGTGCTCTTAGTACTCCCTAGTTATTAGGGCGTTCTTCATTGAAATCGGTGATTTGTGGTTTAGAAAGAGGACTATGTAATTAGTGGCCCTCGGATAGGGTGCATGATCATTTCATTGCCAACTCATTAGTTTAATTTTTCCCTAAACGAGTACGTACTCTCCTAAGCTAGCTCCAAATTAATTATCCTCTTTAGTATTTGAGATTTATGATAACTTTTGTTTGTGTGATATTTTCATTGATCATTTGATAAAATCAAATAGATAATATATATTACCATTGGTTTATAGAATTTTTAACATATTAAGTTTTACTTTGTATTTTTATATCAATTTATAAATAAAATTATTAGAATTTTCTATTATCTCTGTTAATCCTTGTTGAGTGTTACTTCAAAGTCCCACATCGGTGGGATAAGAAAATTGAGGAGGGATTGGAGCCTATAAATAAAGAGGAGATATAGGCTTCCATCACACAACACAATCCTTCAATCTATATAATTGTATTAGATTTTAGGTTGTGAGTGTCAAATATTGGAGAAGGTTTGTAATTTTTCCGTGCAAAAATTACTAGTGAGATTTTATCCCAGAGGGGGTCATGGAGTAGGTCTTGAGGTGCCGAACCACGTTAAATATTTTGTGTGCTCTTTTTTTCTTTCCTTTCCATTTGTTTGCAGTATGGGGGCCTAACAAGTGGTATCGGAGCCAAGGTGCAGAGCTCGGGTGATCTGGTAATTATAATTCTTAGTATGCTCTGTGGTTGCAGCCTTGACTGATCTTCCACATCAGAAAAGAATTATTAACTACAGAGTTGCAGTCTAGGGAGAAAGGAGATAGAGGAAGGAGCAAGAGGAGGGAGTGCCACTTCAGCGGAGGAGGTGGTGGTCCAGTCAGCAGAGGTGGGTCAGTGAGTGCCACATCAGCAGCTTGTGGGTCTCGAGTGCCACATCATCATCCAGTCATTGCCACGTCAGCAGGTCTAGTCATCAGTGGGTCCCATCGCCACGTCAGCAGGTCCAATCATCGCGTGGGTCCCGTTGGTGATTTTTGGAGAGAAGTTGGTTCTGACTAATTTTGACGTCCTGATTCCATTTTTGAGGCCAGTTTCCTCAAAAATTGGATTGTTTGGTATTGGTTGATTGCTGCTTGAGTGGAACTATGACTACCTTGAAGTTTGAAGTTCCGTTATTTGATGGAAGAACAGTCTTCATGCTGTGGCAATGCACGATTCAAGACTATTTGGTCCAGCAAGGTCTTGATTTAGCATTGCAAGATGAGAAGCCAAGTGATATGAAAGAACCAGAGTGGAGTGCAATCCAGAAGAAGGCTGTCAGCACAATTCGGTTGACACTGTCCCCATAGATTAAAGTGACTGTGCTGAAAGAGACATCACCAAAGAAGCTGTGGGAAACGTTGAAGAGCAAGTTTGCGTCGAAGACACTTACTAACCGGTTGATGATGAGGATGGACTTGTACTCACTGAAGATGGAAGAGGGAGGTAGCGTAATTAGTCACATCAACAAGTTTAATGAGCAAGTATCAAGGCTGTTAAATGCAGGGGAGACTATCAAGGATGAAGAGCAAGGGCTGCTTCTACTGGCTTCACTACCAAAATCCTTTAAGCCGTTTGTGCAGTCAATGATAGCAGGAAGGACTACACTGCGGCTAGATGAGGTGACGACTGCCTTGAAGGAGAGCCAAAGGATGATGGGAGGTGAAGAGTCTTCCGGGGATAGTCATTTACTAGCTGCTGTGAGTGTTGAGAAAGAGAGGAAGAAGAAGAGTGACCAACTTTGGAGAAGATCTCATCTGAGAGACATGAGCACTGTTAGGTGCTATTACTATGAAAAGTTGGGTCACACGAAGAACGGTTGTCCAGAACTCAAGGAGGACTTGCAGATCCTAAAGGAGAAGAAGGGCAAATCGGAGGAAGCTTCTTCCGCAAATGTGATCACTTATGAAGATGATCTCTTCTGAAGATAAGAGTACTGCTGGACAGAAGATTCTGCAGGATGGGAGTATCGCTGCAGAAATC